GGATCCAAGAAAATATGAGTACCAAAGGTGAAACCATATCATATTTTGCAGAAATACTTTGCAGCTCAAAGCTTTAATGAATATTAAATAGAGTTGTGCAAAGAGTATACTTTCAAGTACACAATATTTTAAGTCTCTGATCCAAAAAAATTCGATGGTGGTGGATATCAACGATGGCGATCAAAGCAAGGTTTTTCATTGAAGATATTTCAACATTTATGATCCTTAGTGATCAGTTAACCTCATTGTAGGTTGAATGAACTCTTGCATCCAACAATATATAGAGATTGACACACCATAATGTGTTGGTCTTCTCTTTGAGAAAAGTTTTATTAGGGTCTCTTGATAGTTGAGGTGGTACACTATTTTAAGATTGAAATAATTGTAAAACTCCGATTAATCCTTTAAAATAATAGATTTAATTTTGTCCATCTCGATAAATCATGTTTACAAACCAGAAAAATGAATTTCTAAGTATTTTATAGAAAGGAACTGTAAATAAAGAAGAAGAGAGATGCACAAAAACAATTTAATCCAACACAAGATTCAAAATGCACCAAAGAAAATGTTTGACGTAAGCCTAATCAATCTGACACATTGAGACAATCAATTAGAGAAAATATTGGCACTCACATTTACGGATCATGTATCTTATTATCAAATCGATTGGAGTGTATAACCAATCGATTGACACACCTAATTTTATATGACGAACATATAGTTTAACATGCATGGTCATGCAATGACCGACATAGCTTAACAAATTTAAAGGCAAACTAGACAGAATTAATGTTAAAATAAGGAGACCATATCACATCTGGAGACAGTTCATAGTTTTCTTTACTTGTTTATGATACCAACCAACTAATAGTATTACTAATTAATTAATTGTTACATGCTGTCAATCAATAATATTATGAGATCTTGGGAGGTGGCTAAAATATCAGCACTCATTTGACTTAGAGATCTTCAAACCAAAGGCACCAACATCATTGTCCTATAAATAAAAGCCACCACAACTTCTTCTACTCACTCTCTCAAACCTAACACAAACATAACACTCTCCTCTTAAAACAAAAAATGCAAATACATTTCTCCATTAAACTTCTTGTTAGTTTCTTGCTCTTGTTCATTTCCCCTCTGTTTCTTTCATTCTCAACTGCCGCACAGCAAGATCTCCTCCGTTCATCATGTGCACAAGCAAGATACCCAGCTCTCTGCTTCCAAACACTCTCCAACCAAGTCAGTCCCACAGCGAAGCCCTTAGACCTGGCTCAGGCCGCCGTTAAAGCCAGTCTCGCCCGCACTCTCACCCTTTCCGTTTACCTCAAGAACACTCTAAAGTCACAGCTGACAGTTGGGTCTAAAGGTAACAAGAGAAAGCGAGTTGCATTGAGTGACTGTGTTGCTCAGATTTCCGATTCTGTTCTTGAGTTGAACCGGACGTTGAACGAGTTACGGAAGCTTCAGATGGGAACGTTCGAGTGGCAAATGAGTAACGCTCAGACATGGGCTAGTACTGCAATAACAAACGGTAACGCGTGTATCAACGGTTTGAATAGGAGTGACGCAGAAGAGAAGATGAAGGTGGAGGTGAAACGTAGGGTTACGGAAGTATCCATGTTTACAAGTAACGCTCTCTACTTTATCATTCGTCTCGGTGATAGCAGGAATCCAAAGCCTCACTCCAATTCCAATAACTGATGCATCCATAATATTGTCAAGTTTCTGCTTTTGTTTCCCATAGCTTTGACTACGTTGACATAACTTATTTGCATGAAAAACTTGTACTAAGGACTACTTGCTAGAATTGTAAAGTACGTAAGCTTTAGTTTCCTTTTTTGTTTTTGCTGTGTGCAAAAAAGACAAGATCTAAATCTATGTTTTTGTATACTGTTTTTAGGAAACAGATCCTCTACTGTCTCTCCTCTTCTTCTGCCATCTCTCCCGCTCTTCATCTAATGGCTAAGAATTAATACAAAATAAATAAATAATTTTTTATTTATTTTTAAAAGATATAAAAAAAAGTAGATGAATGATTAAGATGGAATCTGCAAAAGTGCTGAAGAGGATTCAGATCTATATACTATAGAATTTTGTCTATTGGGATATACATTTTGCATTTAAAAATCAAATATGAGCAATTAAAATTAGTAAACAACATACATAAATATTAAATAATTATGATTAAAAAAATATAAAAATATATATGAATTAAGAAAAAAAATATTTCAATTATTATTGTCATATAAATATTAATTTAATTAATCAAATTATAATATATATAAAAATTATGTCGATTATAAGTATATGATATAGTATATTTCTTACATACACATATGAGGATAATGTTCGTGGATAAAGCAATTTAGTAAGAAAATGATCACTTTTATATTTTAGATTTGGGCCTGATTGATTTAAATTGTTTGAATATCTGTGGTGGAAAATCCACGGAGAGATTGATTGCGGATAGATTTCGATCTGTAGTGAAAGGTCTATAGGCTTTGGATTTGCGACTTTCCAGTAGTGCTGAAGAGATCAACAGTGCTATTCAATCATTAGATGGGGTGGTAAGCACAAATCCTTCTGTAAAAACAATATTTTGTAAATGTTTGTGGCTTCTGCACTATATGTTGCTATTCTACACAATCTTTAAGCTATTTGTTTCCAAATTTATGGTAGTTATATTTTTCTACTTAAATTCTAACGGTGTGTTTTTGTGTGCCTATTTATATTTGTAGGGTCACATTTGCTTTGTCTATTTTCGGCGATTGCAGGAGATTCGGATTCGGACTCAAAATTGCTGGTGCAGCTGTTACAGTATCACATTGCTGAGAAACTTTTCAGGCGTTTTTCCGAAACTGTTCTAATGATTTGCTTGCAGCAACAGACAAACTTGCTCAATCTGCGGTAGAATTTTATGCCAATAAGGTAATATTGAGTTTACTTTAAGTCTTTTTTTCTATTTTCTTTTTGTTCTTTTTGTTCTATTAAGAGCATCTTCAATGTGCAACTCAATTTTAGGTTCTTTGTGGGACCCATTAAGCCACGTTAGCTTGAAGCAACCCAATTAGTTTTTCACTCCAATGGTGCTACTTTAAAGAACTCATAATGGGTCCCACAACTTTACTTTATATATTAATATTTTATTCATATTAAATTCTATATCATTTAAAATAATAATTTTAATTATTTAGATTAAAATTTATATAAAATAAATAAAATTCAAATTAAACTTATAATTTAAAATGATAATTAAAATTAATTTCAAATACATTACATATAATTAAAAACAATAAAAATAAATAACATCACATAAATTAATCAAACTTAAATTTCATCATCTTCATGTCCAAAACGTTCCCAAATATACTCGACTAGATCTCCTTGAAGTTGACGATGAACTTGTTTTTCACGAATATTTGTTCTTCTTTGTAGTCTTGTTGCAAGATTCGGATGAGGACCGCTAAATGTTTCAGTTGTTGAGTGATTGTTATCCACATTATCATAAGAGTAATCAAAATTACCTCCATATGTATGTCGTTCATCTTCAACAATCATGTTGTGCAATATGATGCACGCATATATGGTATGTTTGAGGGTGTCCATGTGCCAGGCACGCGCTGGGTCACATATAATTGCAAATCGAGATTGAAGCACTCCAAATGCCCTCTCCACATCTTTTCTAGCTGATTCTTGATGTTGAGCAAATAATTTTTTCTTCTCTCCTTGTGGCATTGAAATGGTCTTCACAAATGTAGCCCACTCAGGATATATACCATCGGCTAAATAATACCCCATATTATATGGTGTTCCATTGATTGTATATTGCATATTGGGAGCATGTCCTTCCAAAATATCGTTAAACACGTTGGATTGGTTTAACACATTAATGTCATTGTTTGAACCAGCAATACCAAAAAAAGCATGCCAAATCCATAAGTCTTGTGATGCCACTGCTTCAAGCATGATTGTGGGCTTTCCATGATCACCTCGACAAAATTGTCCTTTCCATGCAACAGGACAATTTTTCCACTCCCAATGCATACAATCAATGGAACCCAACATACCTGGAAAGCCACGTGACTCTCCCATTGTAAAAGATGTTCAACATCAGTGTTATTAGGCTTTCTCAAATACTCAGCCCCAAATACAGCATTCACGCCCCGAACGAATCTTTGTAAGCACTCAATTGAAGTGCTTTCACCTATTCGAACATATTCGTCTACAACGTCAGCAGGAGACCCATACGCCAACATACGAATATCAGATGTACATTTATGCAATGGTGAAAGACCCATTTTACCAGTTGCATCAACCCTCATTTGGAAATATTCATCATGATTTTCAAGGGCATCTACAATTCGAAGAAATACATGCCTATGCATTCTGAACCTTCTTCGGAATTGAACATCTGTGTATACTGGGTTTTCCGAGAAGTAGTCATTGAATAATAGATTGTGCCCTTCTTCACGACTACGATCTACCATTGTTCTTCTCTTTGGCATAGATGAACTTCCAGATTGACGTTCATTTTCAAGCAATTGTTCTTCATCACTATCGTCGATAAATTCTTCTTCAATCAACTCCCGAAATTCTTGGTCAAAATCATCTGAATTGTCTGAATCCATTTTAGTGAATTAAGAATGATAGAAAAATGAGAGAAGAATTAGAGAAGAATAAGATGAGAATGGGAAAACAATGACATAAGTGATAGTATATATAATGGTTTGAATAACGGCTAGTTTGAATAACGGCTAGTTTGAATAACGGCTAGTTTGAATAAAGGATAGTTTGAATAACGGCTAGTTTGAATAAATGATAGTTTGAATAACGGCTAGTATGAATAAAGGATAGTTTGAATAACGGCTAGTTTGAATAACGAATAGTTTGAATAACATAATATTTATTATAATTTAAAGTGGTACTAATGACCATTTTACATAGGTGTTGATAAATTAAAGTGGTACTAATGACCATTTTACATAGGTGTTGATAAATTAAAGTGGTACTAATGACCATTTTACGTCAATGATACTAACTACATTCCATATTTTTTTCATCTTATTACAATATTTTTCATGAATATCTCGTTGATTATCATTCATAGTAGAAGTGTCTTTCATGATGATATTCATTGCCTTTAGTTCTAGCTCGTCCTCCTTACATTGAGCTAGTCTTTCCATTGCTGTTTCTCTTTTAATCCTTGCATCTTGCATTGCATTTGGAATTTCCTTTGCCTTACCCTTCCTTTTTGCTGCTTTTTGTCCCATTGGACGCTCCATTGGTGATGATGAGTTAAACTCATAACTTGAAGGTGTATTTGGGTTATCCGATGATGCCCCACTAGCAGAGCTCTTTGTAATTTTTGAAGAATTTCCAATCGATTCTCCCATCCATTTAGGTTCATCTTTTAATAATCGCCACACTACGCCAAAAAAGACCTACGAAAGCGCTTTTTTTGGCCTTTAAAAGCGCTTAAAAGCGCTTTCTAAGGTGGCGCTGCTATAGGTTTTAGCAACGCTTTTTGTTTAATGAAAAGCGCTTTCATAGGTCTACTTATGACAGCGCTTTTTCTAAAAAGCGCTCTCTTAAGTACCCTTATGGCAACGCTTTTTCTTTAAAGCGCTCTCTTTAGTACCCTTATGGCAGCGCTTTTTCTAATTAGGGTTTCTATAGGAAAAGTCAACCAAACTTTGACCAGGCATAACTCTCACATACTTCATCCATTTTTCCCCAACCAAAGCTCATTTTGAAGATAATTCAATTCCCTATAACTTCTCTTCATCCCTCAAGTCCAAGAAATGCACCATTTGAAAGATACAAGTTCATACATTACAAGTCATTTTTAGAAAGTCAATAAAAGCCACTTTTTGCCAAGACCTTTTACATCAAGATAATGTCTTCAAATGCAAAATTTATCAAAAAAGGGATAGAACTAGACATCTTGGGCTTTCCAAAAAGTCCAAGATCATAATAATGAGATAAAAATTGAGGAAGTTATGGCTTGCCCAAGTTGGGAAAATTTGGGAAATTTCAAGAAATGTGCATCGAGAAATTTGAGCTTTTAAGGCAATGGCTCATTTTCTTGGACTTCAAACATCTTCCTAAGAGTATATAGTACTCCTAAAACCATTTTTTGCATAGTCTTGATTTTATTTGCATTTTATATTAATTTTATTTAATTAAAAATAAAATAAATCAAAACTATTGCAAATATTATGGATCAATATGGTTAATGCTTGTTTTAATGCATGGAGGGGCCCCAATTTTTGTGTACAGCAAGGCAAACATGTTTACATTCATTCAAAATTCAAAAATGGACAAAATCCCGTACTTTTGGCCAAGGTACACATTTGTATTCATGGCATTCAAGAAATTGATTATGGCTGTTACAAACTTGTGTTTTCATGTCTCCTCATTACTCTCTATAAATTACAAGCCTAGCAAGCATCAGGACACGCACACAGATCCTGGGGAACCTCTGAAAGTTTTGTAAAAAAACACCAAATTTGTCAAATTTGAATTGCAGTCTCCAGCCTATTTTAGTCACAAACAAGGATCCTAATCCACTCCTTGATATCCCTTGAAGCTTTTCCAACTGTTAACAGGCCTTGAAACACAACAAAACGCTTCCTACAAGTTACGGTTTGCCATACTTTTCTTAACTTCGTGTTCTTACATTCTTGCATTATTGATCAATTTTAATTGCATATTTGTGTTTGTATGGATGCATAGAAGGTTTCTGAATTGTCCAATTAAAGCTTAGGTACAAGAATGACATTCCACCATTGTTAACGTTCGGGCCTCTAAATTGGGATTTTTCGCAATGGCCAAAATTAGCCCAAACTAAGGACACCATCTTGCTCAGGAGGATGAGGCCAATTGACCCATGGCCTCATATGTATTTTATATTGCGTATCATGAATGTTACAGGATGCAAGTGCTATAGTGACAAGCAAAAAACTGTCACTACAGGTTTCCAGGTCTAATACGACGGAGGGAGGAAGAAGACAATGTGTGACAGCCACTCATTAGACAGTTTGAACCTGCGTGTGCTTTCTTTTTATTTTTAATAATTGCTGAAAATTTTAAATTATATTATTTTCGTTTGGTATGTATAAACGAATAGACAGTTGGCTCAGTTGGCAAAGCGCGCTTGTGTGAAGGGAGAGGACCTGGGTTCAAATCCCAGGTCCAACGTTTTCCATTTTCATGATATTTCATACAGGATCCAATAGTCCACATGGCCATAAGAGTATCCTGCACCATCAAATATGACCATCAGGTCACAATCAAGTTGGAATCCAAGAGCCTTGACTAGAGATCCACCATGCACCCTCAAGGTCAGTCCTCACTGAATCCAATAAAGCAATATGGGCTTCAACACTTGGGCCTGACGTTTTTTGCAACAGCACCCCCTTTTCTTTTCTTTTCAACATTTAGGCCCATTGGGCATTTTTTTTGGTTATGTTTGTATTCTTTTTTTATTGTTTTCTTAACTTATTTAATTAATCAAATAAAAAAACCACAAAAAATTAGGCTTATATTTTTTCAATTAAGTAATTAATTTCTTTCTTAATTAATTAATTAAATTTTAACTATTTTTTTAATTTAAAATGAACTAGAACTTAGAATTTAATTTAATCATTTTCTTTTCATAATAAAAATTTCAAAAAATAAATATTAGGATTAGTTTTTCTTTTATAACCTAGAACAATTTCCCATTTAATATTTAGTTTTCTCAATCAAATTTAGAATTAATTTTTCTTTAACAAAACCCAAAAACAAAAAAAAAAGATTTTTCTTTACTTAGAATTTTTATTAGGTTCTTAGACGTATTGTTTTATCTTGCGCGCGTTTATTTTACTTTCGCATTTTTATGATAATGTAATTATATCCTGGTATGTAATAGACTAAGTATGGCTTTTTATCGCTTTCTTTACTTTGCTTTTCCCCCAGTTTTATACATTGTAAATACCCCCCTCTGAAAGCCATGTAATAGTCTAGATTTATGCTTTCTGCATTTTATTTTCTGTACATATTAACTGCTAGTAACTAGGCGTGTATGGAAAGACTAATAATCAAATGTTAGAAAACTTAACAAAAAGACAAAAATAACTAAATCAAACACAATTTCACACGAGCACCTCTAGGATATCCCACTTTGGTTGTCTTTAAATAAAACAGTCATGAGGCAGAAACGCTTTAGTAAAGACCCATAAATCAAAAATGATCATAGTCCCTCGATGACCCTATAGTTGTCTTTCGGTAAATGATCTAGTCCCTAAAAGAAAATTTTCTAAAGCGTATCCACAAGTTACCTTCGTGACTGTAAAACATCCCTTCGATTGTCCCTCAAACATCCAACGACAAAGCTACCTACTCACTAATTGTAGGATAGCATTTTCTAAAGGAAAAGAGGAAAAGAACGACCATTTTTTAGTAACAAAGTAGATAGCTGTTAGGAGTTTGCTCAAACATTTTGCACATACACAAACACTACTTTTCAAAAACAATTTCAAAACACTTTGTATACTTTCTCCACTATCCCGAGAAACATTACAAAGTTCTCCATACTAAAGCGTTTTCAAAACATTTTTAAACACAAAGCATAAAGGTACTTTTAAAATGAGCAAACCTCTAAGAGCCCATGGAAAACCACGGATGAAAATGGTACTAACACCTTCCCTTTCCATAATCTACCCCCCTTACTCAGAAAATTCTCGAAAAGGTCTTTTCTGTTCTTTTCACCCTTTGCTTTGTTGGATAAAAGAAAAGACGGTGGCGAATCTTGCTTACCGCAACATTTTCAAATACAAACGTAAAACCAATATCAAACAGTTGGTTCTGCCACCGTATCACGGATGCAGTATCCCACAAATAAAGTGGAATACCGAGAAAGAGAGAGGTTTCGAAATATCTTTATGCAATCCTTGTACAAACTCAACAAACAAGTAAGAGATAACAAGAGAGCAACTAAAAGTTGTAAGATGAGCTAAATACATGAAAAACCGGAAAAGGACATGAAACGATAAAAATATGTTATGTTAATTTACAAAGTAAGCATGAAAGGAATTCAAATCAAGCAAAATCAAGTGCATTAGCACACTATTGCTAATTAAACATGGATGCAAGTCAAATGAAAGTCAAAGAAACTCTACACGTGTTAATTGGAATCGAAATCGACGAAATCGGAAAAAAAGACGTCAAAAATTAGTTACTCAGAATTAAACGAAATTTACCCGGTTGATTGAAAATGTCCCAGCGGACTAAAAAACAAGGCCGATTTTAATTAATTTGGCCCAGAAACAAGACTTTTAGGTTGTTTTACAGTTTTATACCGTAACAAAAAAGTGGTAAAAAATTCCCGAAACGAAATCATATTCGCGTAATCAGTTTCTGAAGCATCAAAAAATATGGTTTTCATTAAGAAAAGTCGGAAAAAATCTTCACAGATAAAAAGTTATGACAAAATGGAGATTATGTTACAAGAGTCGGAAAATTTGAATGTTTGTGTCATTTTCCAATTGGCTCAAGTTTTGGTATTTGAAAAGAGTTTATAGAATGCCCTGAGCTATTTGGAACATGTCACAACTCAAATAAACAATTATTGCTAGCAAGAGTCAACAAATATCTATAAACTTAGAAATTGCACATAAAATTGAAATTGAGAGAACATGACCAAAGTATGAAAGTAGCAACAATGTTAGTGTTATGGCAAAGGTTATGTAAGTAACTTAGTATTAGAGAATAAATCACAAGTTAGTAGTGCTATGCTATTAGCCTATGTAAACTAAACTAAGTTAGCAACATCGGAAACTAGAGGTTATACAAACTAAGAAAAATGGTGTTAACACAAACAAGAATTAGTGTAAAATACCACATTACAAGCAAAAAAAAAAAATATAAATGTTATAAAAGTGAACCCGGAACATCGGCACAACCTCAAAAATTTCCCAGAATGAATTATGAAAATTAATGGAACATATACACACGCAAACGGTTTCAAAAATGCGACCGGTTCGATCAAATTTCACCATAAAATATGATTTTCGTAACAGTTCCAGTAGCAGTAAAAACAGAGTGAAAATTGTCCGAATAGAAAAATCGTTCATGTTAGAGCTTCAGATGGCTCGAGAAAATCAGTTTTCATTAAAAAAAGTCGAAAAAACTCATCACAGATCAAAAGTTACGACAAAAATACCGTTTATGTTGATTTCGGCCTATTTTCAAGTGTTCAGCAAATTTTCAATAAACTCAAGTCAAATTGTGTCAAACATGATTTGTTATGATGCTTGAGTCTATTAGAAACTATCTCAACTCATGGAAATTGCCAAACACAAGAAATCACATCAAATAACAAAATTCAAGCATTATGTAAAAAGAGAGAAAA